AAGTTTCTAGAATGTCTTCCTGAGTCTTGGGACACCTTTTCCATGTGTCTTAAGATGTCAAATGACATGTCCACTCTTTCTCTTTCGTCTTTATACGGGATTYTGCTTAACCATGAGCAATCTCGTCAACTGAAAAAGAATCTTGTAAAAGAAWCCAGGGAAATGAGAAGCTCTCCTTTAGCTTTGATCTCTGAATCTTCTTCAGTTGATACTTCTACTCCTTTTGTTTCTTCTCTACCTCCCGTGGTCATCACGGAGATGGACTCTTCTGAGGACATTTCAGAATCTGTTTTAACAGATTTTGATGAGTCATTGGCACTCCTAACTAAGTCATTTAGGAGGTTCGCCAATAAGAGTAAATTCCGCAGATCTCCCAGCTATCCCTTAGGGAGAAGCCAAAGTCTGAAAGAATAGACAAGGCTTCAGCTGTCTGCTATAATTGTCACCGACCTGGACACTTTGCAGGTGAATGCAGATCAAAGAAGACTGTGACGCCATCCTCTAATGCTCCTTCCTCCTTCAGGACCGTAGATGAGAAGTACTCTAAACTGAAGGAGAAGTACAAGAAGATGAAGAAAAACCACCACAAGTCTAAAGGTCTTGTTGCTGAAGAGCATGATTGGGCTGAATCATTTGATGAATCATCTTCTGATGAAGAAGATAAAGCCTACGTCTGCATGATGGCCTTTAATGCTGATGAAGGATCTTCTGAAGCATCCWCCTCCTCAGAGCCATCTTCTTCTACTCAGGTTATCAAAGGCATATGGTATTTGGACAGTGGCTGCTCAAGACATATGATTGGAGACAAATCTCTCTTATCTCAATTCAAGGAAGAAAAAGGACCTTCCGTCACCTTCGGTGGAAATGGAAAAGGATATACCAAAGGKTTTGGTATATTATCCAACGGTACAACTACCTTTAAGCGTGTTGCATACGTTGAAGGACTGAAGCACAATCTTCTTAGCATCAGTCAACTGTGTGATAAAGATTATACAGTTAAATT